GGGCATACATTCGGAAAGAATTTTGAACTAATCTTGAATATGCATATCAAAGATAAATAATGATTTCCCATGACTTTCGGAAACAATTTTTGTTTCTACACATCATTGGTACACTAAACACCGTAATGTGTACCCCGAACAAATGCTTCAAAGTGCACTTCTTGGGTAATTGCATGACCGTGTACAACTGAGGAGCCTGTGGTTCTAACTAGTAAAGCTCTCCGGACTGCCTATACTCCCACCTCGGGAAAGTAAAATTTCACTGCATACGCAATACTGAAACTTAAATTACTGATTTTCTACTTTTTACTACCGCTTTTCTTCCAGTGGGTTAACTGTGATATTCGATTGATAAATATGTCAATTCTTGGAAAATTCGCTGTGATAATGGCTGATCCACCATGGGATATACACATGGAACTGCCATATGGAACAATGTCAGATGATGAAATGAGACGTTTAGATATACCTTGTTTACAAGATGATGGTTATATATTCTTATGGGTAACTGGAAGGTCAGTGAATGTTTTTTTTTAAATTGGGTCTAGTAAGCTCAATGCTTTGTTCTTCTAATCCAAGAGATTTGGAGCTAGTCGAGCTCCACTCATCAGTTTTTGTATGTTTCAGGTTGGACAGTTCCTATTTTAAAAAGTAAACCAAAGATTACAACTACCTGTCACTCCATCTGTTTCAACATACAATGCTGATTAGCGTAGCAAATTGAAAAAACGTTTATAATCGTCAAATCAAAACACGAAATCAGCCCATTGAAACTTAACTCATTGTTTATTTTTTTACATGTCAAATTACACAGGGCTATGGAACTTGGTCGAGAATGCCTACGCTTATGGGGTTACGAACGTGTCGATGAGATCATATGGGTTAAAACTAATCAGTTGCAACGTTTAATTCGCACCGGACGTACAGGACATTGGTTAAATCATGGCAAAGAACATTGTTTGGTTGGTGTAAAAGGCAACCCGAAAGTAAGCTGACGATAATTAGAGAAAAATTATTCTTTATTCTATAGAAAGAAGCTCAACGGCAATAATTCAAGTAAGATTAATTGGTTCCTATAAAACCTTACGTCCAATTGTGGGCGTAGGTGAAATAAGTCTGTCTGTCAGTAATAGCAGCAGGTTTTAACGTTAAAACAGTAAAAATGTAGCCATCAAGATTTGGAGAGATTTGTAGAGGCTGGTTAGGGGCCTCTGAAGTATTATTCGCGTATGTTGTGATCACTAGTGAGCAGTAGTTTGTCAGGTGTATGACCCTAAGCTGCGGATCACAAATTCATTGATGTGGTAGAGAATCTCTTTCGACTGAGATGGTTCGAAACGTTTTTTTAATATAACCTAATAAGCAGCTTACTTGCAATAATTGATAATTGTTATTGTAGTAAGATTAGAGTAAGGCGGAGCCGGATGTGAACAAAAAGTAATATTTTCCGTAAGGCATTTGAATCGCAGTAAAATTCCCATCATATTCAAAACTATATATATATGAAAGAATAATATTCTTTTCAATAAATCCTCTTATTTACTTTTGTTATCCTTAATGATGCCGTTAACGTACTCTCTGTTGGGCCTTCCTTTCCTGGTTTAGCCAATTGCCGTTCATTCTATTCATATCTGCTTTTAATTCTCTGCGTAATTTACCCTCTGATATTCCTCTTCTTCTTTGGCCCTGAGGAGAGGATCATACTCCTAGACGCCTGTTAATGAACGCTTGTGTCTTCTGGATGATGGCTTTCGTGGTACTCCAAGTTTCCGCTCCGTACTGGAGAACTATTGCATTGAAATTTCTGACTTTGGTTGACAGTTGGTTTAGGTTCCAGATGTTCTTGAATCTTAGATATGCTGCCCTTCCATTGCAATTTCGTGCTTTCATATCTGCATCACATCCACCTTGTTTGGTGGGTTCATTACATCAATCGATTCACCATCTTTGCGTAGTACTCTTTTCTTAATACTAGTATTGCTGACTCCATTGTCTCAGAATACACGAGCACTGCTTTGAAGACGCCTACGCTCGAATACAAGTAACCTACGAGTATCCTCTACTCTGACTACCATTACCAATATCCCAATGTCTGTAGCAAGTACATTACAGTTAATTCCATAATTCAGTACAAACGAATATTTTTTCATTTCAGTCATATCATAGGTCAATTTATCATTAAAATATGCTAAGTGGGTAGCATGTTTTTACTAATATGTTTGGCGCATTAAATAAACGTATTTGGTTCAAATATGCATAAACACATACCTCCTTGAGTGCGAAAACGTTCGGTTAGGAATCTTTCCTGTAAAAATATTTGAATGAATGAAAAAGATATACTTAAGTAATTCCTGCAAGCCGTTATGCGTGAACAGTACATACGTTAACGATAAAGAAAAGAAACTGATATATCACGTGAACATTGGCAGTGGCTGTTTAAGGAGAGCAGAAAGAAACCTTTGTACATTATAATCCATAACTTTAATATATCACTCAAATTTGGTTCTCGATCGGTTGAGTAGGAGCTGATTATGTGATCTACAGTCAGTCAGTTAGAACGTAGAAATTCGTACGTATGTACATCAGTTCAGGTTGCCATATCACATTAATACAGAGACGCAATTGTCACTTCAAATCCCATAGTTTTAAAAGTAGTGGAAAAATTAGCAGTAATCGGAGCGATTAGGATTCGACGATATTATTCAAGAAGTATAATTCAGTGTAATAAACTTAAAAATATAAAGATAAAATGATAAGGAATTCAGAAGGTTAGAACTTGAGAGAAACAAAGACTGGATGAACCTGCACCGTTGCAAACCGTTTCAAGCCATATCATTCGGGGTCAATAACCAACGATCACTATCGTTACGCGGACCACGGTAGCCTACATCTGCCAATATGACTCAGTCCACTTGTCAGTGACTTCATGCATTTCTGCCATGTTTTGTTTTGGCCGCCCCTATCGATGAGGGAATCGGTCGTTGAGCATTCGTAACACATCTCCCAACCACCTCAACTGATGGAGTTTCAATACTTCATCGATTGATCTGCCATTCTTACATAGTACTTGTTTCCTAACAACAGCATAGCTTATCCGGTTGTTCCAGGATACACGAGCGATGCTACGAAGACATCTATAATTACTTACGCCTGTTTTCCCCCAAAATGGCATAGACCGCCGATCAGTTTTCTCCAACTAACTCTGGTCCTGGTCTTCCCTTTTTAGTTCTGTACAATTTTTGCCCATTTTCTCATGTCTTTCTTTCGTAGTTTACCACGCTGAATATTATCTGACAACCGCGATTCGCGCATTGCCGGTGTCTGCAACAGACATACAAAATGCTCCTAGAAACGACGCCGTCATCAAGATGACGATGAAATATGTCACTAATGGTTCGCCGTCGAAGAATTTTGAGGGTGACATGAAGCAACTGTATCAGCGGCGGGATTCACTATGCATCGTTAACGATTGTTTGATGTTTGGTGAAAGAGTAGTGGTGCCAGAATCCCTTCGTGCAAAAGTGCTGAGACAGTTCCATCTTGGTCATTCAGGGGTTAAACGAATGAAATTCATAGCTAGGAGTTATGCATACTAGCCACTAATGGATCAACATGTCACAGCGTTGGTTGAAAAATGCATGCGGTGTCAGCAGGCGGCAAAGATGAATGCCGAAATTCCGCCGGTTTCATGACCCAAACCTGAGCATCTATGGTCCAGGATACATGTCGACTTCGCTGGTCCAATCAATGGAACTATGTAATTAATTGTGGTCGACGCCTTCTCAAAATGGCGAGAAATCAGCCCCGTAATGCCGCTCACGACAACTAAGACAATACAGCTCCTCAACGAAATTTCCTCTCGAAATGGCATACCAGATGTGATTGTATCTGACAATGGGTCTCAACTTACCTCCACACAATTCCAAACTTTCTGCCAACGGCTAGCCATTAAGCACTTACGCTCACCACCATACCACCCGCAATCGAATCGGCAAGCGGAAAGGTTTGTGGATACGTTTAAAAGAGCATTGGTTTAGTCCAAAGGGGAGGGGACGCCAGCCGATGCGCTACAAAATTTCTTGTACGTCTATCGAATAACACCAAGTGAGTTGTTACCGGAGCAAACGTCCCCAGCAGAACTCCTGATGGGAAGAAGACTGAAAACGATCCACAGCCTGATGCATCCGACTAATGCACAAACATCAGAAGAGACAAGGCAGCAATGGCAATCAACGTACGAGGTGGGACGCCCTGTGTTCGCCCGTGACTGCAGAACAAATCATGGTCTCTGGGTAGAAGCGCAAGTGATCAGAAGAGTTGGGAGAATTATGTACGAAGTGGAGGTCGGAGGCGAAAGGTGGTGACGCTATCGAAACCAGATACGCAAACCGCCGGCACCAGATCGTCCATCAAGAGCAGGAAATCTTCGCATTGACATCCTGCTTGATACCTTCAAACTACCAGCAGTCCTCCACGAGAAGAAACTCAGTCACAAGCTGATCTACTTCCCAGTCTTCATAATCCGGTTGATCAACAGAAGAGAAAGGGTGAGAGTAAGCAACTTTGCGTTACACCGGTCTTCACCTCGAAAGAGTCTGTCAGCTGTCCTCCGTGCACGAATTCGCGGTTAAATCCATCCTAATAATTCCACATGATGTTGACTATCTTCTCAGGCACGCCGAAGAAGCCTCCATAGTGTTTTCCTGATCACGCTATCGAATGCTTACTCTTTGTCGATGACGTTGCTGTAGAGTGGTGAGTTCCACTATATTGATCGCTCCACAATGATCTGTAATGTTGCAATTTGGTCAGTACACGATGCATCCTTACGAAATCCAGCCTACCGATCTCGAAGTTGTGTAATTACGGAGTTTTTAATTCTGTTTAACAATATAATGTTGAACATGTTTCCTGGTTTCGAGAGAAGGGTGGTGCCTCTATAGTTCTCATACTTGCTGAGATCACCTTTCTTTCGCATTTCGATCAGGTATTCTTGTTTCCAATCTGATTGTGCTTGTTCCTCATCCCAAATCTTGTTGAAGAGCATATGAAAAATTTTTGCATTTGCTGCCCCGTTGGCTTTATTGCCTCTGTTTGAATGTTGTCTCGTCCCGCTGCTTTGCCGCTCTTAATTTGTCTGATGGCCATGCCGATCTCTTCAACTGAAGGTGCGCCAACATCAATTGGGAGGTCCGTGGATGCTGTTTCGATGTTGGGTGGGTTCAGTGGAGTTGGTCAATTCAAGAGTTCTTTAAAGTGCTCTACCCATCTATATCGATGTTATTAATGTTGCTGATTACGTTGCGTTCCTTGATTTTCACTGGTCGTTCTGGTTTACGATGGTTTCCAGCGAGGTTCTTTGTTGTACAATTGTATCATGTTTCCGTTTCCTGAAGCCTTTTCCGCCGTCATTGCTAGATCTTCCACATATTTTCGTTTGTCAGCTATGATGATCTTCTTCACTTTCCTGTTTGCTTTAGTGTAAGCAGCTTGTGCATTAAATTTCTCTGCTCTT